GCCATAACTGCTAATGGCAAAGGGAGTTTCCTGGCCTCGCGTCTCCAGTGTGACGTAGTTTTCCCTTCGTCCAATCTCACCGTTGCCCTGGGCAACAATCGGGCGGTCTGGGAAGAGAGGCGTCTGTAAGTAGGCCCGAAAAAGGACCAAAGGTGACCAGTCATCCCAGGTTAGACAACTTAATTCATATTCGGAACCGCCTGCCCGGGTTGGGGGAGAGGAAGGAGCAGGTTTCCTGGCCCTTATTTTGCTGGGACCTCTAATCACTTACCTAGGTGGACAAAAGGTTAGGGTTCCGAAAATCCCTGTCCCGCCCGGAAGTTGCATTTGGCACTTCTGAATGGGGTCATGGCGGAAGGGTGGGAATAGCCCCCGGCACCCCAGGGAGTGCCCATTTCCACTGGAGCCGCCAAGTGAGGTGAGGATCCGATCTGCCCTGTCCCGTGAGGACGGCCCAAGTTAGACGGCCCAAGCTAGACGTCCCGCGGGAGACGGAGAGCCGGGGAGGTGAGGGGAGCTCACAGCCGCTTCCGCTGGAGGAAGGTTTTCTTTCCGGGCTGGCCTGACGGCGGCCCGCCCTACCTCCGCCCCTCTGAGGTTCCCTGTCGGGCGAAGCCGCTCCACCATCCTCTCTAACCCAGCTGCAGCCAGCTGGGCCCGGCGGGGCCTTAGGCTCGTGCTACGGGGCGGAGCCCCTCACTCCCGCCGCTGGAGCTCCTGACCGCGCCCCCTTAAATTCCTATTGAGTACTTCCATCCCGACCTTTGGAGGACGGAGAATTGTGGAGCAATGGAAAACGTTTTCCATTGCCGGCTAGAAAGGAAAAAAGGTGGTCCTCCACCACAGCGGCCACACCTCTTAAGTCTTATTTTCCCACATCTTGTCTTCACATTTTGAATTTTCTTCCTTTTCTTTGTTTCTCCTCTTTTGTGGGTTTATAAGCATTAACTGTTCTGGGTAGAGGTATACCGTCCTAATCCTCCATGTCTGCATTTTATTAAACAACTTACTGCTTGTGAATATTCTTAAAAATACCGTAATACTTTTACGTGGTTCTTTCCAAAAGTTGTCACACCTTAACTCGTGTAGTTCCTTCTGTAGGCTTAAGTCAGATTGGTAATGCTGGGTTGGATGCCTAAAGTTGCGGGGG